ATCTTGAGCTTGAGGTATGCGTAGTGCGGCACCGCGTTGAACTTTGCAAACGCGGTCCGTCCGAGCAGAGCATGATAGCCGCTGCGGAACGGAACTATGTCGAAGATTAACTCCTCGCTTCGGAAGTTATCCGGGGATCCGAAGACCACTTCCAGTGTGACTGAGCCCATACAATTGGCCTCTACACCTGGTATGACACCTTTGAAGGTCGTCTTTGTGGGTTTAATCCTTGAGGGGTCTATGCCCATCTTGCGCATTGTGTCCTGATAAAGCAGGTTCAGGCTGCTGTCGCCGTCCATCAGGACTCTGGTGTGGTGAAATCCATCAACGATTGGGTCTAAAACCAATGCGGCGAATCCGCCATGGCGGATGCTGGTGGGGTGGTCCCTTCGATCAAAAGTGATCGGGCAGGAGGACCATGGGTTGAACTTCGGGGCGACTGGCTCCATCGCGTATACGTCCCTGAGTGCACGCTTCCGCTCCCTCTTGGGTATGTGGGTTGCGTATATCATATTCACCGTCCGCACTTGTGGGGGAAAACCCTTCTGTCCTCTGTTGTTCGGCGGTCGGGTCTCTTCTTCGTCATCGCTATGCAGCCCCTTGTCATTGTTTTCGGCGATTAGCTTGCCTGCCTACTTGAATACCCAACAGTCCCTGTTGGTGTGGTTGGCTGGCTTTTTGGGGGTGCCGTGTATCTGGCACGAGCGATCGAGTATTCGTTCCAAATTGGACGGACCCATAGTAGTTCTTTTGAATGGCGTTGACTGTCGTATCCTCATTATTGTCACCGTTAATGCGGCGTTTGTTCTTGTTGCGACGTGACCTGCCATTGCGATCCTTGGTATCCGGACTCCCGGAATTTTTGCTGAGGTTGTTGCTGCGAGCTAGCCAGCTGTCCTCCCCCGCGCAAAAGCGGGTCATGAGTGATGTGAGGGCTGCCATGGATTTCGGCTTTTCCTGTCCCAGGTGCCGGGCAAGCCACTCGTTGCGGATGTTATGTTTGAAGGTTGCGAGGGCCTCCGCATCCGGACAGTCGACGATTTGATTTTTCTTAGTTAAGAACCGTGTCCAGAATTGTCTGGCCGATTCGTCTGGCTGCTGAATTATGTGTCTTAGGTCGTTAGTGTCTGGTGGTCGCACGTACGTGTCCTGGAAGTTATCAAGGAATGCGGCTTCCAGGTCCTCCCAACATCCAATGATTCTGCTTCAAGCTGTTAAGCCAATGCCGAGCTGGTCCTTTAAGCTTGAGTGGGAGGTATTTGATGGCGTGGAGATCGTCACCGCGGGCCATGTGGATATGAAGGAGATAGTCTTCGATCCAAACCGCGGGGTATGTTGTGCCGTCATAGGATTTGATATTCACGGGTTTAAACCCTTCGGGGATTTGATGATCCATTACTTCGTCTGTGAAGCATAATGGGTGTGCGGCGCCTCTGTATTGGGCTATATCGCGACGAAGCTCCAACGAGCTTTGTCTATTGTGTTCGGCCCGGCCGGACTTACTATGTCCGACGCGACGGTTGTCGTCGCGTATCATGGGGCACCCACGCGATCCGTAGATCGATCTTGATTGTCTTGCCTTATCCTCCAATATATCTCGCAAATCCAGAGCATTCCCCTGTGGCCTTATGCTGCTCGAGCGGTGCCGGGGTACGGTTCTAGTGAAGGGCCTAGAGGCCTCTCTGTCGCGGCCACGAGGTGGCCGGTCAGCCGTATTGTGCTCTGGTGATGCAGGTTTATATGCCTCCTCCTCTAATCAGGGGAGCAACTTGCGTTTGGGGTAGCTTTTGGAGGGGCGTTCGAGCTCATGCTCTTCGGCCACCAGGACTTCCGTCCATCTGTCGGCTAGCAGATCCTGATCAGCTCTAAGCTGTTGCTGCTTTTTCTTGAGGCTGTTTGCCGTGGCCATAAGCCTGCGTTTGAAACGCTCTTGTTCGACGGGATCCTCAGGCACGATAAATTCGTCGTCGTCGAGGCTTGCCTCGTCTCCAGAGGGAGGCATGTAAATATCTTCCACTACTACTTCGTCTGCTGCCCTCTTGTGAGGGCTGGCATCCCCGTCCTCCTGCGCTAAATCTTGCTGGAGGGGGTTGTCTTCGGCACTGTCTGGGGTATTATTATCTCTGGTGCCGGAATCGCCATTCTTACTGTGGCGGGACTTAGAGCGGCGCCGCTGACGCCGACGCTTGGGCTGTTTCTTGGAGGGATCTTCCTCCACTGTTCCTTCGCCATTCCCATCCTTTGGGATATCCACCATGTATATGTCGTATGACGAGGTGGCTTTCCAGTGCCCAGTAGGCGCTGGTTCTTCGTCGTCTCCAGCATCGTCGTCCATACCGTCGATGTCTTCGGAGTGAAGTCTAGCATGTCGGTTAGATCATCGACAACGGCTACTAAGTGGGTGGTGGGTGGGTCAAGAATTTCCGCATCCCAACCGTCCTGACCGCAGTCCGGCCAGGGCTCTCCTGATAATGAGAGATATTTTAATGAGCTCAAAACATCGCCAAAAGGTGAGTGTTGAAAGCTGTCCGCGGCGGCGAACTCCATGATCGGAACCCAATCGGATTCGATTGGTGGGGGCGCGGGAGGTTCGGAGTCTGGCGAGGAGTCCGGCACCTCGGAGTCACGAGCTTCAAAAGGGACAAAGTCAGTATTCGGCTCCATCGCCGTAGAGGTTGCAGCCCCCGAGGCGGTGTCTAACCACCCGTCCTCGATCTGCGCAGCCGGCTCCGAATCAAGGGTCGGAGCGGTTTCATGTGCGGCCTCCAGGGCACTGTCCGGCAGCAGAGCTAACTCATGCCCATCATGACAGTGCGGCGCGCTCGTCTGTGGCTCGAATCCATTGAAGATCAAGTCTCCGCGGATGTCAGCCGTGAAGTTCAGACTTCCAAATCTGACCTGACGGCTAGGGGCGTAGCTTTCGATCTGCTCCAGATGGCCAACCGAATTGGCTCGCAGTGCAAAGCCGCCGAATACGAAGATCTGTCCGGGGAGAAAAGTCTCACCCTGGACCGCGTCGTTGTTGATGATCGAAGGAGCCATCGAGCCTATCGGTGACGACACAGAGGAACTCTCAGTGAAAGCACCAATGTCGGTGGCAAAACCGGCGGATCTCGGGTAGGGGGTCCCGAACTGTGCGTCTAGGCGGATGGTAACAGGAGACAAGGGACACGATGTTTTACCCAGGTTTGGGCCCTCTTGATGGAGGTAAAACCCTACGTCCTGCTTGATTGATATTGATGATGTGGATGTTACAAGAGTAGATCTACAACGAGATCAAGGAGGCTAAACCCTAGAAGCTAGCCTATGGTGTGATTGTTGTTATTGTTGTTGTCCTACGGACTAAAACCATCCGGTTTATATAGACACCGGAGAGGGCTAGGGTTACACAGAGTCGGTTACAATGGTAGGAGATCTACATATCCGTATCGCCAAGCTTGCCTTCCACGCCAAGGAAAGTCCCATTCGGACACGGGACGAAGTCTTCAATCTTGTATCTTCATAGTCTTGGAGTCCGGCCGATGATGATAGTTCAGCTATCCGGACATCCCCTAGTCCAGGACTCCCTCACATGACATGCTGTGTATCAGACCAAATGTGTGCCTTGCCACATGCCTGGCAAGGGGGTACAAGAATGATCCAGGAGTGGATCACTGGACAATGGTCACAATTATCCTTAGAGGAAGGAAATGTTTCTCGATTATGGAGGTGATAAAGAGTTCGTCGTAAAGGGTTTCAACGATGCAAGTTTTTACACTAATCCAGATGACTCTGAGTATCAAACTAGATGCGTATTGAACGTAGGAACAATTAGCTAGAGTAGCTCTATGCTGAGCATTGTAGACATAAAAATTTGCAAAGTACACACGCGTCTAAATGTTGTAGACCCGTTGAAAAATTATTTTGAATCTGACGCTATAGTATTTTCTTAAATATTTGCACTTGCCATTGGTCAGCAACGCGTGTTTGTTCTATGCTAATTGGTTATAAATGGACGAAATTGTGGGCATGCCAATAAAAGAGAATTGCGATTTGGATCTAATTAGAAAAAATATGGACCCATGAGTTCTAAAATAATAAAAGAAAACAAACCCCTAATAAAGAAGGGATATTCATACCTTATTATGCTAATGAAATAAGATTTATGCGCTGGAATTGGTAATCCATCCAGTTACACCATTATAGGAGAGAGTGGTCGCAGCAATCGTGTCTCAAAAGTCGCCGCGCAACCAACAAATGAGGAGGCAGCCACAACCCCGATATGGAGGCAGACCTGGAGGGAAAAAGATAGCCCGAGTTGGGTGCTCCCACCACTATCACAATTTTGTGTGCCAAACATGTCCTGTGAGAAGACAACAACTCCTTGTTTTATCACCGACCGTTGCAGAGAGCGTTTTTTGGTGGACACATCAATTATCTTTCCTGCTACTTCACGCAACCCCCCCCCCCTCCGCCCCCCGCGCACGTTGCAATGCATGGGCATATGTGCTTGTAAAGAAAAACAAGGAAAATGCATATTGGGAGGAGATTTTGAATTTGAACTGTTTTATTTTTTAATTCAAAAAATAGCATACATAAAAAAGTGAAACTTTAGGGTCAATATATTTCACTCTTGAAGAACAAGGTTTACAAGGTCAATGCTCTATTGCAGTAGCAATTGAAAATATCAAATGTATGTGTCTAATAGCAGATTTTTTTTCTCATGTGAGAACTTTGTACCCGCCCAAATTGTACCACTAGAAACACATCAATATATCATAAGTATGGGAATTTGTTTTGCGCAAACAAATCCAAGCAATTATCCATGATGAACTAAAATATTACAGTGCGTCCCTCAAAATTTCTATTCATGTTCTTTTTTCATATGCTCATTGCCGTGATGGGATTGATAAACTACTCATCGGAATAGACACTTTGATGTATGACAACTCCCGATAATTATGTAAATGTGTAACTCAAGAAGTCTGTTCACAATTTATTGTAGTTTGTAGAGTACACTCTCAGACCATATTACCTGGTCCACCATAGTACATATGCATACCATGGTTATCAACTTTATAACCATCAATACTATATTTCGTTATATCAGTAGTTCCAACAAGGTCTTTGTGACTATTTGGAGTGACAAGCTTGTTATTTTTGTCAACAATCTGGATGCTTCTCATAAAAGCTGCTTTTCCATACCCTTCAGAGGCAAAATGCCCACTACCAATTTGTGGAGAGTCTGATGAAGCTGTTGGGCCTTGAACAAAACCGCCCCAGAATGAATAAATCCCTTTATCTTTAAAGTGAGAGAAGAGTGAACTTGGCCAATATCCAACCGGTGTCTTTTCTTCACCATACATCACCCACCAATTTGCTATTTTGGGGTCCTAAGGTAAATCAAAATGCATGAAAGATTACTGAGCACACAAAAGGGCATAAAACACTCAATGTTATTTTGCTAATATCTAGTGTGCATGCCATTGTTTTTGTTCCTCTGAAGATATATATTATGCATTTCTTCTCATAACGTTTTCTTGTAATAAGGGATGTACATCAAGATAATGTATATGGGAATCCTTGAAGATCAATTGTTATCCATGATTGATACTTTTTGCTGAATATGTGTTATGTTAACTATAAGGTGAGTGGTAATTTTATTTTAGGCGATGTTCTTGATAATTTCTCAAATGCATGTCAAAAGATAGTATGTGGGTGTGGAATGACCAGAAGTTAAAAAAATGATGGTGTTCCAGAATTATGCAATTGGTACCATATCGAGCTACCTAAATTGGTTATGTGAATCAACTAATTCAAGTAAGTACAAATTTTCATATGCACCACCTGTAAATTATATGTAGAAAAATGACAATTTCATTGAGCAAGCGAGTACCTTGAAAATGTAAATGTCTATCACATATTGTGGTCCGTTATAGACTGAAACAGGAAGTACTCTTCCTCCAAGACCAACACGGTGACTAACTTGCACAAAACCAGGACATACGTGATCGTAGCAGGGCTTGTGTAGTTTGCCATCTCGCTGTTATCCAAGTTCGTTCAAAGGTAAAACAAAGTATATCAGTTTATGTTTATAATTTCATGTTATAAAATTGTTGTACTTGATAATATAATGTGCAAAAGAGGAAATGTTATTAATTACCCAAATAACATGAAACCTTGCAAAGCTATCACCAGTGGAGTTTGGAGCTACCGAATAACAAGCACCTACACCTTCTTCCTGACCCGTTGGTCCATTATCAATTAGTACACCTGATTGACTAATATCCTTGCTATCTTTCTTCACCTTTGGCTCATACACATTTATGGTAGCTCGTACCCCATACAAATCATCTGAATATCTAATTCCCGCCATCTGAAAAAAATGTGGGTCAATGGGATAACTATATTAACCACATCAATATGAGTCCAATACCATATAACATCAATGACCATAACTTAATGGTGTGAACTTGGAGTTAGAGAGACCAATGCATATCAAACTCTTCAAGAAAGTCTTGGACTAACAACGTGAAAATATGGAATTACTACACATACAATTGAAAGAACATTTACACAACTTAGAGCAACTCGAGAAGATTCAACATATTTGCGGCCCCCATGCCGGTTTAGAGAGCCATCCACCATTTTTTGGAGGTTGCAAAGGCTGTGGGCAAACACACATCCGCCAAAAATGTGTCTCCATAATTGTTTTTATTCTTTCTTGATTTTGTCGACAATTTCAATATGAACTAAATTGCTAACTTTCAAAATAGATTTCGTTCATATATAATGGTGTGGAAAATGAGTCACAAAGACTTTGTACATATAGAATATTAATAACTAGCTAAGGAGCACGTTTCCTAATGGGGCACACTGATGTGATACTTGTATGGGCACAAAAGAGAGGGAGAGAGAGAGGGAGAGAGAGGAAGAAGAAGATGAAATTTCCCTCCCTCGCAACAGTTGGCTTTAGAGTGATGCATAGGGCGACTTTGCTGAGTGTTATTTTGTACGATGTTCCACATAATAGTGGTTATTATGGTGATCGGCCACTTATGGCGACTCTACTAGACTTGCTCTTACTATTTGTTGAAACAACTCTGTGATGAATTCAATGCTAACTACTCAAATTTCTATATTTTAGGACCTTTATGTTTGTGTGTGTGTGTGTGTGTGTGTGTGCATGCGCACCGACAGAGCCGGAATTAAAGTAAACTCTGGGCTAGGTTTTTTGGCAACATGGAAAGTTTAGCCCTAATAACTTCCTAAAACTATCACAAAATGTATACATGCACATTGTGTATACAAAGAACAACAACCTAATGCTGGAATTGCCAATGTAGAGCAACATGGCAGCACATCGGTTAGTGCGGGATGTAACACTCGAGCTGATTTGCAGACACCAGTGAAGGTGGAGCCGCCAGGGCGTAGTAGCGGAGGGGAATGACTGATTGGCTCGTTGCGACGATAGTGGGTAGCTGGGAAAGCATTGGGCGATGGTGGGCCACATGGTCCCGAGCTTGGATACAGTTTGGGACATAATTGCCAATTGGAAGGGATTTAGGTAGCTGGCTTAGAGTCTTTATGTGCCTGGGCTATGCTGGGCTTGTGGGCTAAATCACGGGGCCGGTATACAATGATATATAGGTAACAGTGATAAATCCAACTCCTCGGGCCTAGCCCTGGGTGCCTGGAGCGCGGATCCATCATTGTCTATGTGTTCATACACAACGTGTGCTCGTGTGTGTG